CTCACTTACCTCTCCCTCAAGTTCCAGAACCTCAAACCTATTATGCAGGGGCATAAGGGGAGCCAAGGTAGGTTGGGATGGAGGTAGCTTATGATGCCAAGCTGAGACCTATTTCCACCCCTCCTCTTCCCTTAAATCACCTCCATCTGCTCGATGATCTGAGAGGAGGGGGTCCACCACCATCTGGATGGTATCACCCTTGTGTCATCCCCACAGATTCAGCAGAGAGTTACTCCACCAATCTATCTCTAGCAGCACTCTCTGATACCCCTTAATCTCTCCACCTCCTCCTTAAGCTCCACGACCATACTCAGCACATCATCCACCTGCTCACAACACATGCAGGTGGAATTCCGGCTGCTCTTCACTGGCAGCAACAGGCTGAGGCACTCGCTGCAGCCAGGTACATGAACCACATATTTTTAGGCGGGCACTTCATTTGAGTCATCATACTCTTTCTTGCCAGAGCTTTTTGCCTAATGGAGAACATGGCTAGATTCGTTGTCTGGGAGGCAACCTGTAGGTGAGTCAGTTTTCCAAGCAGAAGGGCCCCTCTTGCCCTCCCTGCTCACCTGCCCTGTGTGAACATGCCTTTCTGATGCATGACACCCTGTTTGCTCATCTTGTTCACTGTGCTCCCTACAGGCAGCTTCCTGGCTCCAACCCCACCACATCAGAACATTGCTGCCACATGAAGAACAATGGCTCCTGGCAGCTGCTCCTTTGCAGGGCTACCCCTCCACCAATCAGAGCAATTCCTGCTTTGGTGTGGAATGCTGAAAAATCACTGAAAAATCAGAGATGCTGAGATGAATGCACTTCATGTATACAGAAGTGCAGCTTGCATGTGGGTAACTGCTTCTTCACACATGATTGATCTGCTTGAAAACCAGCCCTGGTAGAAATGGTAATGAATGATACTGCAGCACTATATTAATATTCATTTGTCACTCATTTAGGGTTGCTGGTGCAGCGGTGGAGGAAGCATTGCAAAACCACTGGTAGAGACTTGTTAGAAGAAGTCATAGCTCAACTGACTATGTGAACTTCAAAGAAAAGATAACATGTAAATATTGAAAAGATTAATTTTTCCTGCTTGGCAATCAGGGTGAAACATACAAGATCAACAACATTCATCTGATAATAGGAAAATTCTGCAGGCTGCGTGAAGTACTGTACAGATATTAAACCTACTGCACTCACTAAAGGACCTGGTTAAAATTCACTGATCACCTAACTTCTGGAGAAAAGAAACAACTAGCTAGTAGTAAATTGAACAGATCATAAAAGAGCTCAACAGTCTGCCATAAAAGAATTTTAAAGAATTATATCCACACAAACAAGGGATATATAAAACAAAGCAGAGAATTTCAAATTGCCACAGCTTGCTGGTTCTGCATGACCCAATATTCTGGCTTGTGACAAAGGATTCTCTTTAATCTCAGTGTCTCAGGTGTGGAATCCATCTGTTGATACCAATTACAGAAGATCACCAAAAGTATGGTGATTTACTAGATGTAATTTCAGTTTATCAGTCACATTATACTTACTACATAGATGAGAAATGATGCTAATTTTCCAATTCAAAATGCGCATTTTGGATGTATTACTCTTACAACACAAGCAAATCCATTTCTAGATTATTAGTTAAGTGTTTTAAATTACGTTTATCTCCCTTATTAACATTAGCAGCAGTATGCTAAGAATGCCAAGATGGAAGATACTAGTCTGTGTGTCAAACTCTGGTTAGTATGGAAGACAGTAACACTTTAATAAACAGGTGATTATGCAACTCTCAGTTCTGTTAAAAGCAGATTGGTAGTCTATTACAAACTGATTACATTTGCTACTTTTTTACTTCAAACAATTATATTTGCTCATTAACACTTGATATGTTGAATGCAGCTTAAGAAGAACATAGGAAAATTAAATATCAATCATTCTAACTCCTCAGAGATTTCAAACTGACTCATGTAATGATATTTTCCTTCAAAGAACAATAGTTATGTGCACCTGTGAAAGATGTGGTGGAGAAGAAAAGGGAGAATGGGAGAAGTTATTTTAAGACTGATGTAAAGTAGACATCAAGGGAATTAAACATGGAGCTTAATTGATGTGTTTATACATATCTACATGAAAATGTGTTCTGAAACAGCACGAACATCTTTGGCTATATCTGCAAGCTATCGCTCCTGACAGGCTTACTACTGCAGAAGACATAAAGAGGCATCCTCTATTGGGAGTGTGAAACAAATGCCTCTCTTTTCATAGTTAATATAGAGCTTTAAAGGAGTTTTAGAGATTATTCCAGTTACCTTATCACCTTTGCAAAAGGCAGAGACTGTTGTGCAAAGGCTTTGTCAGGAACTGGGAATGCTCGAGAATCATAGTAAGTAGCCTTGACAGAGCTGCATCTACCACAAGACTGCAGAAAGCTTTTTAAAGCAGATGAGTATTTTTAACATTATTCTATAGGTTGGAAAGCTGAGACAGAGAAAGGAAAAAAATTTCTCATGATTCTTCATCAGAGCCACCTAGAGAACATAAAACTCTTTAAATCAGTGTTCTTCATTTCCCCCAAAATGGAGCTACAGATCTGCTTCCTAGCTGGCCTTAAAAAATAAGATGTTGAAGAGGCAATCCCTCAGAAAATTCACTGACAATTTTTAAATTTATGCAAATTCTATGCCCATTTGAAAATAGATTTTATGATCACAAGACAGTCACTTTCTCACTCATTCCACTGTGGGAGCAGTTAGGTACCCTGACATGCTCTACACTGCATCTACAGAAAAAACTGATGGTACCTGCATGAAAGAACAACAGCTGAAATAGCTACATTTCCTTTACATCTTGGAAGAAAATTTGTACTATTCTTATTCACCTTGGCTAGATACTTCTCCTTGACACTATAACACAAAATAAGTGTGGCTAATAATACGTTGAGGGTTGCTACTGGACCTAGTACACAGACTTTTAGCACAATATTGCACCCAATGCTTGGCTTTAAAAGCTAAAGCACAAATGCCTTAGGCTTCTATTTACTATCCAAGTATTGTGATGAGTGATAAATCTGCACTGAAACCATTAGAACTTGCTTCAGAGATGTCTGGTCTACCAGAAAGCTGTCAGAAAGATCTGGGAAACATGCTGATGAAAAAAAAAAAAAATAAAAATCTGCAAGTAATGTGCCAAATATATATCTTTTCATTTCAGGATTCAGGTGAAAAAACAATACCAGCAGGTAAAGGTTAAATGGATTGATCCATTTCTTTTCAGAAGAAGTTGCTATAAAGGCCCAGAGTGAACTAATCACACGCTCTGTTTTTGTCCTAGTATTCTCTCTTATTCATACAAAGAAAGACTGTGGAATGAATGATGTCGTGATTGGATAATAGACCTGGAAGAAGAAGCACATTTAAATGGTTCAAGTTCTAAGACCTCAAATTTTAATTCTGGTCTAAAACTGTGAGATAGCGGCGAGGTGGTTTTACATCCTTCCCAACCGTTATCTGAGGCTGTTCAGCTCTGAAGTACGGAATGGCAGAGTTAAATAGCTTCCTACTGATAAAAGTGGGGACTGGAGGCTGCAGACATTGGGTTACTTAGGAGGCAAAGACATGCACAATAAGAGCTCTTATTTGACACAGACAACTCTGTGCCTTGATAAAACATCATTAAAAAGTGTATATCACCTCTAAATCCAGTACAGAAAGGATGTGGAGGTACTGGAGCAGGTCCAGAGAAGGGCAACAAGGCTAGTGAAGGGCTTGGAAAATCAGCCTTATGAGGAGAGGCTGAGGCAGCTGGGGCTGTTTAGTCTGGGGAAGAGGCAGCTGAGGGGAGATCTTATTACTCTCTTCCAGTACCTGAAAGATGCTTACAGTGAGAGCGGGGTAGGTCTCTTCTCACTGGTGACATAGGTGACAAGACGAGGGGAAATGGCTTCAAGTTGCGCCAAGGTAAGCTTAGGTTGGACGTTAGGTAACACTTCTTTATGAAAAGGGTGGTTAAATACTGGAATAGGCTCCCCAGGGAGATGGTTGAGTCACCATCTCTGGATGTGGTGCTTGGAGATATGATTTAGCAGAGGGTTGTCAGAGTTAGGGTACTATGGTGAGGCTGTGGTTGGACTTGATGATCCTTGAGGTCCCTTCCAACCTGAGTAATTCTATGATTCTATGACTCCCAGTATTCCAGCTAGGACTCTGGGCACATTTTGAAATAACATATATGGATGTAGCTCAACTTCTTCAGGTCCACTGGAAAATATAGGAAGCTTCATTACATAAAACCTACTGCAGAGGAGATTCTCTCTGAGCAGTGGTATCCAAGTACAGGCAAGAGAATGGCATATGGTTGGATAATGTGATTAAACAGAAGACTTTCTTGCCTGGTCCAGCTCTAAGCTTGGCTTAAAAGCATGTAAGAATTACATCCAAATGGGCAAATTATGTATTTGAAGATGGGTAAAAATTGAAAACTCCCTTGTTAACAAAGAAAGAAGCTATTATTCACAAGCAGGTTTTTGAAAGATGTTCTATAAATTTCTCTCTCTAGATCCCTTTGAAGAATTCCCCTGCCACAGTAATGTGTCTGTGGGTACTCTACTAAAACTTACTAATTAAAGTATTTTATATTAAAACCTGGAGCCTACATGTCATCAAACAACACTAGAAAATACAGTTCTAGGATTGACAGTTTTCCTGCCACTGCTGTCCATCTAGTAAGTTTATTGAGGGTTTTTACCATGACTTACTTCCTCTATCATGAACAACAATATGCTAACATTAGTAACTTCTGCTGAAAGGTTTTATGTTGCTTTTCTACCCCAAATTGTACTTGAACATGAAGGTAAAGGATTGCTTACTTGATATATGTGAAAATTGGATTATAACAATTCAGTTTGCTTGCTTTTACTTAAGTGATTGAACCTTCTCTGTCTTCAATATTGACTTCTTAGCTTTATGTAACCAAAATTAGGGAGTAATAATGCTTACCTTGTGTAGCAATGTAGTGATTCGGCCTGTGATAACCCTAAAAGAAATCAGGGAAAAAAAATTATAACCAGCATGTAACTTGCCTATGTTGCTTTACGTAAAACTTCATTTACAGTAATTTTCAGTAAAAATTATAACAATAAAAGTAATGTGCTAGATGCAGATGTTCTTTCTGGTAGGCAAGGGAGAGGAAGAACAAGAAGCAAATGTGTTTTCTGTAAGATGCTAAAGTTGCAGCCTTGTACATTAGGGGACAGAAGTAATATGTTCCCAAAGTCCCTTGTTGGATCTGTTGAAAATAAATAGCATGAAATCCTCTCTAGCACTTGCAGCTAATGGTGTGAGATGCTCAAGGAGGCTGAGATATACCTTCAAGCTATTGCGATTTAGTGCAAAGCCTATCCCTTTTTTTAACAGCTACAGAATGCTCAATTTGCATTCAGCCCCAGGAAGGGTGGGGAAATGTTCACTCTGTCCTCTGTGATTTATTTATGATATATTTCTGAACATGAAAAAGAGGGTAAATTCTTTGACTAAATGGTTTAGTATAAATACACTTCTTCACCTCTAAATAAAAAAAAAACACCATAAAGGAATTCAATGTTTCTCTGATAACAAGGGCAACTTAAGCTGGCTGTGCAATAAAGACTAATACGCTATGGATTCTTGCAACACTGAATAGGTTACCAATAGGGAACAATACCATTTTTATTGTGTTTGAATTTCTGATGTTATGAGAGTGTCACCAAAGGTTTAGATCACGAGCAAATATGTTGATAAAATCAGTTATGCCAGTTTTAATCTTTCAAAAGTGGTGAGATTCCATTGTCAGCCTTCCAAAGGAAGAAATAAAAGCTGAAGCTTGCATGTCACTGCAATTTCTTTGTAAAAGTGCAAGAGGGACTGTAGTGATGGAAGGCTGCTGGAAAAGACACAAAACATTTGAAAATACCTTGAATATTACAGAAAATATAACATGAATTATATAATTGGTTAGATATCATTGAACCAAAATCTGGAATTCTGTGAACTCAGGCACCTATCAACCAGAGCTTATTTTTTTCTGTGGTGTGCTACCTAGTATCCCTAGTGGCTGGGATTAAATGCCTCAATTTCCCAGTGAAGAAATTAAGCATGGGGAAAAATACTAAATAAATACTGCCTACTTTTCTTTTATCTAATAAAACTTCATAATATTTGTGAAATTCTCTAATTGAGATGTTTATTCTGACAACACAGCAACAATAACCCCATGCAAATGAAAAATTTCTTCTGTAGTAGAAGAACAAACACTTCCAGAAGAAACCTGACTAGCAAGATTATAAACAAAAAATGCTGTGTTTTATGGCTGCCTTTGGAATATGTCTGCAAGACTCCAAGCTTTGCAATGAAGCCACCTGCTAAGAATGAGGGAAATACTTTTTGTTCTCACTCATTATTTCTTTTAGGACGTAAGGGTATGTAGCAACAGGACGAGGGGAAATGGTTTAAACTGGAAAAAGGTAGATTTAGACTAGATATCAGGAAGAAATTCTTTACTGTGAGTGTGGTGAGACACTGGAACAGGTTGCCCAAGGAGTCTGTGGATGCCCCCTCCCTGGTAGCATTCAAGGCCAGGCTGGATGGGGGCTTTGAGCAACCTGGCCTAGAGAGAGGTATCCCTGCCTATAGCAGGGGGATAGGAAGTAGGTGATCTTAAATGTGACTTCCAACCCAACCATTCCATGATACTATGATTCTTTCCATCCCTCTTGTACTTTCATAAGCAATAACAGGTTGCTATTCTGCTTTCTTACAAGTATTTCCAATAGAACTGTATGGTGCAAACTCTGTACATCTTTTAGCATTTTAAACTTAAGCACACACTGCTAGCCTAAAACAAGAACAATCCTGAATGTTGGAAAGTTTGAGATTTGCATTCAAATCTAGTTCCCCAATGTGAACTTTCACTCGCTTTCTATGACTCCCTTCAGAGAGATTCTCTACAGAGGTTACTCCCCTCAGAGTTTAGTGAGCTGCCTAAGCGAATTTCCACATATGCTTTTAGCTCCCGGTGAATGTGCTACTCTTTCAAATAGCAAGGGACTGAGCAGAAGTCTAAGCTTCACTTAATAGCTATTGAACATACTAACAAGCATCAATGGGAGTTATCAGACAGTTACAACTTCAGATTGTTTAACTGAAGAAACCTACTTTTCCTGTACAGTTCTAGCTCTTCCGAATTTTGATAAAAACATCTCTTACATTCCTGTTTTACACTGGTTGCTATATTTGAACTGCAAACTGTGACACCATTTTCTCAGATGTAAATAGAGATCTTTAGCAGATGCTGTTTCTTATAAAGTGACACTTGTTTTACTTAGCCAAACATCTAGCACTCCATGCAAATAATGAAATAATTATCTTTGCTATCCATAGATTTATGACTTTAGACAGTATTGACTTTGTAATGATTTTCAATTCTACTTTTGAGTTCATTCTTTCAACCAAAACCACCTTGTCTCTTAAAGAATTTATTCTAATGTAAAACATTAAGTTAACATGATGCAGAATGAACAAAGAAGCCACCTTCAATAATTAAAGAGCCTACATATTTAATGAAATGTCTTGCTTGCATTGGAAGTACTGGTTAACAGCTGCAGAATATACTTTGAAGGCAACTTAAAAGTGCAGAGATGACAAGAGATTGCAAATCTCTGCATTAGGCATTACAGAGTTTTGTCACATTAATATGCAAACAGCTTTCTTTTAAATGTGGAATGATGCCAAGCTGTTGACAGAAAGTGAAAATAACATTTTGTTAGCCCAGATAAGCACTAGTAGGCAAAGTAGCCATACAGCATTGCTGGCAAAGTTTCAGCCTATTGACAGTTTGAGGAAATATATAATATATAATACTCTTTTGATTTGTCTGTTGACAAAACTAACACAACTACTTGTTTCCTTTAGTGTACACCTATCTTCCAAAGACAGTACCGTCCAAAAATGTTTAGCAGCTAATATCAGCTGCTAAACAATGAATAATGTGAGAATAGTAAAAGCTGCCTCTTTGAACACAATGCTATGTTTGTTGACTATATCAGTATACGCACATCAATATAATTTCCATTGATGTAATCAGAGTTTGTTTCTCCTTCAATGGGCTGCAATCTCACTCGAGAATGATCATCTGAAACACAAACAGTGGAGAGAAAAATAAGGTAACTAAAGACATTCAGAAACGAATATGACATCAAAATCTTAACGTTAAAGAAAAAATAATATGTCATTCTTGGCAAGTCCATGGTTGGTTTTCTTTGTCCATTAGTGTACTGTATATACATTTAACCTTAATTTTGACCATTCATGAGCCTTTCCAAATCCCCTTTCATTTTCAATCTGAACACCTTAAATATTTCTAATGTGCAATCCTTTGCAACTATTTTTGTTTGCCTTGATAACACCATCATACCTTTTGTCAGTTTGCTAATTAACATGAAGTTTTCTATGGTTTAGTTATTTGGAAGTGTTTATGCCAGTACTCAAAATAAATTTAAATTCTTCCATAAGACATACTGTCAACTCACAGTTTCAAACAAAAACTCATTATGTTTCCATAAGAGAAAGCAAAATAAAGTAATAACAAAACCCAAGCAGTCAGATAATGACTTTGCCACTGAGGTTTGCTCCGTGGTTGCCATCTGTATCTATCCAGGAATTCTACCCATTAGCAAACACTTCCAACTCTTATTTCGAAATTCCAATCCAAAACTCCAGGGTATGAATTTATTTCCTGTCAGCTGCCTCATTTTCTTTATGATTCCACAGAAGTGATTAAGAAGTGCTAGAGGCTACATCCTCCCGTAAAGGAATCTCAGAGAGCTGGCAGGGCTTCTTCAAGAATTTGGAATATGCTTCTCTTGGTTCAAAAGTGACTAAATACTATTGTTATTCTAGAATGTGCACAAGTTGTTGATAAAACAATACTTTGAAGATACTTAAGGGTATGATGTCAATCAACTCAAAGATGGAGACACAGTCAATGGCCCCTTTACCGCTGCTTTATTTACTGTCAACTTGTGCTGATTACACACTTATGTATTACTGTTTTTGAAGGCCATTTGCTATCTGGCTTACAACTAACTACAAGTCTTATTGATCATCATTATTTTCCTGTAAATGTAAATAAGCACTAGTGCACAAGAGAAATTTGTCACCCATGTTTTCAATAGCTAATATTTTTTAACTTTTAAGAAGTGCTACCAAATAACAAAAACTAATGAAGGAACATGAAGTAGCTTATAAAGCTATCAGAAGTAGCGTGATTGCCCACAGTGTGGAGGAGGAAAGCGAGGGCAAGTGGTTCTCACAACAACATTGTTTTACAGTGACAAGTAAAAAGGTTTTCAAATGGATGAGTAGGAAAGGAAGAGGCAAATTAGTGATTTCAACCTTTTATGCTCCAAGTCTCAGTGACTACACATCTCAAAGTCTTGTCTTCCCTGGGATTCCCTTGGGAGACAGCAAGGGCATAGCTGTAGATATATTCTTCACAGCTTTGCAGCCCTTGGTACTGCACAGCTAATATTCTGCTAGTCTGCTATGATTACATCACCCAACAGTCTTTAAGAATGAGTTTTTCCAAGGATGTAGGAATATTCAAATCAATTAAGTTAATCAGGTCATCCTTTTCAGCCTTTTTATTCACTTTTCCAAGACTAAAAATTTATAGAGATGCAATGTTCCATTACATAACCTATCATTGTCTGACCTTATCAAGCTACACAAGTGCCGTGCTATTCTCTGCTTAATTAAGCAATTTATCAGTTTTCTCAGAACAGAGCTTTAGCTCAAAGGCTTATAATTCTAAAAGTCCATCTTACTTAAGATACTACATTAGAAACTTTCTAATCTTTGGATATGGTTGCTGCTTTTATCATTTTAGGATCTGATCCAACTTCTACTGAAGTCAATAGACTCTAGAAGTCAAGCTTGCTTGGACTCATGGTATGTCTTCATCCATATTTTCATGATTTCATGCATCATTTCCTTAAAAGCATTCTAATGAGGAAAACTCAGGCTAATAAAAATGTCTATCTATATATTTCATGAAGTACTTAGGTCACTGAATTTGATTGTTCAAACACAAGCACTCATGCCACTATACATAGACCAGCCTTACGCTGCCAGTATGGAACAGTACAACTGTTTTTTAATGTCCACAGTCACCTGAAATCATAGAATCACAAGGTTGGAAACGACCTATCAGATCATCTAGTCCAACCGTCTCTTCATCACCATTGCCACCACTAGCACTAAATGGCACTGCATGCCTATATTCAGGCAACTAGATTCTGTCCTTGATGACTTGCATGTTGCTGAGCTACATGGACCCATCAAACTTAAATTTTCCATTAAGCAACAGCTTAAAAATATGACCTCCTGCTATTTCTTTTAGACTGATACATACCATGTAAGTATCTTTACTTTTTCTGTTATTTCATTTTACTCTATTCTCTCCTTGCAGTTACTTATGCTTCAGATTACACAAAACTAAATAAATTACTTCATAACTAATAACTATATCTTCATATAATCTTTTTGGCCTTTTTTGTTCTCACATATGTCCTGCATTTTCACCAAAGATTTTGGGTACTCTGGAAATAACGGAGATTCCAACATTCACCCACACGCTGTGGAGCTGGAGTAATTTTTTTTTTAAATTTCTTTGAGAACTTCACGCAATTCCATGCTGTGTAGCAGCACTTCTTAACCAGAAAATTTTCTTCAGTCAACAAAATGTTTTTCTGTGTATATACCTGTGTTTACACCAAGCATAAGCCTAAGTGGTACAGAAACCACATATCCTTCCAACATGTACATTCCACCTACAGCCTCTAGGTTAACTGTCTAGATTTGGAAGATATTTTGTTCCTATATACTTCAGATTGCTCTTAACAATTTCTAGCTTTTGAATATTCTCTTTTTCAGCTTGTTATTTTGTTACCCCTCTATCAAATTCAATTGTGCACTGATCACTTGATCTTTCAAAATGAATTGAATGTTAGAATCCCTTTGTCTTTGTAGAAAGTGGCAACAGGTAATGATTTTGCTCCCCTCCACTTTTGCTCCCCTCATGTTACCAACACCATGTATACGCCAGTCTGCAGCCTGTGATCTCTAACAAGCCCCTTGAGTAGCCAGCTGATTAGCACGCTTAGGCAAGGACACTTTTTTGGGACATGCCTCGCTAATTGTTTGCTAATCAAGCCTTTTCGAAATGTCTCGGCTAAAATCCTTAGCTGCTTTTAAAAGCTGTGATCAATATTCTCTTTTCACTGAGTCAATCTTTGGTTAGGTAAAGATAAATTCGTAACCCCCCTCATCTTGAAATTACCTCAATATCTCTCCTGTAGAAAAGCAATAGATTTTAACAAATTCATAATTCTACACTATTAAAACAGACACCAAGTATTTCTTGAGTTAAAAAGATTCTGCTAGCTTAGCTAGATTCTCTTAGCTTAGATTCTGTTTTTAGTTGTTAACGAGAAAGCACAAAGCCTTCTGTGTTCAATACAGAAGAAACACATTTCTTGCAGGTCATTGGACTGTGGTCATGATTCAGCTTCTTGATTCAGAGGCTCACAAGCTGTAGTTACTTTCATACAGAGGGTTGGGTATGCCTACAGCCAATTAAATGCACATCACTTAGGTGATGTAAAGCATGTTGCCATTTTGACAAGCTCATACACTGCTGCAGCTCGGTGCTTTTGTTTTAGTTTCCTCAGAGAACAATAACGACTACAAGTAATAATGTAACAGCAGTGTCTTGGGGAAAATTTAAACAAAGAGGATAAATGGATGGAAAAAATTACATTAAACTTTTTACAAAAAAAATATACATTTCACTATAATCATATAATTGATGGCATCTAAGCCATCTACAGTATTTTTACTTCTTTAAAAACAGTATAAAAAGGCAATTTAGTAAAATGTTTTAAAAGCTACAGTCAATACTTCAAACAGCTCTGTGGGGTGGATTTTCAAAAGTGGACCACTAAAATTGTATTCTCAGACTTGAAGCTAAGCAATCATTTATTAGCAGAAAACCATACAGCATAATTAAACAGTTAGCTACTCCATTTCCATGTCTCTTTAACAGATGACAAGCTGTGGGCAGTTTCAGCTTCCCTTAAGATACTGCCCTTTACTCCAGTGAATTTTAATTTGCATTATCTATGTTTTCATAGCAACATAAATAGGTAATGTTATTGATAACAATTCCACTAACTCCTTCTGTGAGACAAACACTGATGACATGAAAAGTAAATTGAGATCCAAATGATCAGAGTAACGTTAGCTCTCTCAGAGAGCCTTCAGTATTACTTGTAATTGCCATTGATTTGTGTATCTAATATCTTTTACTTGCTTTCTCTTTGCTACTCATTACTTCCTCTGCTCAGACATACAGTACTGTAAGTCTCCTGTTTACTTCAGCCAAAGGGAGTCAAAGTGAAAGGTAATGTATAAAGTGACATTAGAGAGCAGACAACAAAGCTAAACAATGACTAAAAGACTTACTGTCACAGGCTTGGACTGGAAATAGAAGGTCACAAAAGAATAGTAAACGTAAAGCTAGAGAATGTTCTTTGGAATTTTTTTTTTACATCTTCAGTATTTATACATAAGTGGTGATAGCCTTCTAACGTATTGCTACGTCTCTCACAATAGCAAGTTTGTTACACATTAAAGATTGCCTGCAGAGAAGCAAGTAAAACCAGACTAGTTAACACCTTTTACATGTGCTCCAGCTCATAATGTTATTCACATTTCCCTAGAAAATTTCATTTCCTTTTTCAGTAAATTGCATGCTATTTTCTGACTTGGTGTTCATTTACAGCATCTTTTGCCACAGTATTTTGCAATCTCATAATGCCAGATTTAGGGGTCGCTCATCAAAACAAATGATCATCCACTAAGGTTTTTGGATTATCAGCGTATCTAATCTTCATCAAGTTTAGCAGTTTTCACAGTAAAATAAATGTATTCTGTCTTTTTCCCTAGAGACTGTTAATAGGGTAGCTTACAATGTCTGTCCCAGTTATCAAGAAATACTTAAGCAGCAGTATTGTCCGTTCCTTCAAGATCCAGAACCCAATGTCAAGAGATTAACCGATGACACCATGACTGTTCTTCCACTAAGTTGCCAAGAGCAGTGTGGGAGCAGTCAGAGCTGAGCACTGGTTAAGCATGTCAATTTACATTAATGAAATGGTAATTACAGAATGGAAGGTATACAGTAGGATAGTGGAAAAAATACATTAAATCTGACAGTTTTCTCAAAAAAAATGTAACTTCTTCCCTCACTTTTATGTTCTTAATTGAAGAAAAGAAATATAGGCTCAATGCAAGCAAGAGGCTGGTGGCCACTCTTATCCAGTTCCGAAGACAAGTTAACACAGTGCACAATTATGTTGTCAACACTTACATGCAATGATATTCCCGTATCTATTTTTCATTCTGTTCTCATCTTTCTTAGCTGAATCCCACGGTGCAGACTGTCCTTCAAAGAAACTCTAAAAAAGGAAAAGGAAGCAAAGTGACACTAAGAAATGCATGCAGCAAGTTACCTTATGGATAAACCAAGGAGAAAGGCAAACAGTACTCATGGGTATTGTTGTTTAAAGCACCATTTAGTTGATTCTTTTGTTGAGCAAAAACATAGTTCTATTTAAATGGTACTTATGCAAAGCTCCAAATATAGTCAAAAATTTGACATGAAATAATTTGCATAACAGTATGAAGAATTATTTGCATGTGAAGCGTTTGTGAATCTTTTGAAAGTTGCATGCTTGTAACACAGAGAATCTTCAACTTGTGCTATCCAAATTCTCTGTGTAGTTCTGCTTATTCGCATAGGTGAAGCAGAAAGAGCTTCGTCATCAGTGCTGGAGTTGCAGTATTTGGGTGCAGAATTATACACTGTACTAACAGGCTTTATTTTTGCCATTTCCCCAAGTTTTACTTATTTCTTGGCAGATAGTTCATGCATCAAAACACATTTAGGCATTAAAAAAGGTGAATTAATCTAGCATATATGTATCTTTTCTAAAACATAACTTATGCCATTGAGGTGATCTTTTGCCAGAGAATAAAAATGATATGATTTCCTGACTGATATAATCTATCTAGTATTCACTCAACCTCTGTGCTGTAGTTAATAAATTCAATAAAAAATGAGAAAGTTTAAGTCCTAAAAATATATATTTGCATTAATGAAGCATGCAATCTAGCATACAGGCACTAAGTAAGTTTATGACACAAGTATTTACATAATTTCTTGATTTTCACCTGTCGATGGCCTACCATGACATCACCCTGTCTCTAACTCATTTAATGTAGACGCATTCTATCATTCCATACTGGAATATTCACTGTGGAGTAAAAATATTTAATTGGCAAGTGAAGCAGTGGAATTCTATCGCGACAATGCCCAGCCTTAACTCATGTTTTGATCTTTTCACTGGAATGATCAGTACGATTTAATCTTTGATTCAAGAGGAAAATGAAAGCACATTATCTACTTTTTTTGGTATCGGAAGTCAGAAATGGCTAAGTCCTAAGATAAGGGAAAACATCAAGAAGCTTGTGCCTCTCACAGAACCTCAATATTTTCTGAGTGGTTTAAAGCAGATAATGCCCATGAAATAGAAGACACTGTCCTCATACCTGAAATGCATTGTTGTTCAAATCCCAACAATTCCATTATTAAAGAGCATAAAAGTAAAAATAAATCCTCAATCTCTTTCTGAAGCCAATGAAACATGGGGACATTTGATATCTAAAACAAATTTACTATTTTCATTAAATTGATACAATTGTACAATTTGAAAACTCCTGGAAATACATGGATTAATTCTAAGAAGTTTGTACAGAGCAACGTGAGAAAAACAGAGGCCGTATCAAATGGTTTCAGTTTGCTTGCTCTATAGTTTTCTGCACTTCTTTAGAAAAAAATTTAAAGTTTGCAAATTGAAATGGTTAAACTTTTCACTACTATTAGTGATATTTTTCTTAATCATGGGATACTGCCTTTGGATACAGCTCTGGAAAATGCAGTTACCTACCAAGATAGAGAATTTGAATGCTTTAATGGAAATGTTCATCAACAAAGCCCCAGAAGGCAGAACAAAAAACTAAACTGTTTGTTCTACCTAAAACTTGGCTGAGTATCTTCATCAGGATTTTGCCTTTCAGATAGTGAAAATACAGACAATTCTAGTTTCCTTGCAGTCCCTGTGCTAGAGACTTCTTCACAGAAGACACTGTGTAACAAGTGGTTACTAGCTTAATCCACTAACCATTACATGTGGTATTAGAAAGAAAGAGTCTTGCTAATACAGCTTCCAAGTCTACACCTTGAAATATGGAGGACTCAAATATACTCTCAGGGACTCCCTGCTTCTCCCTGTCCCAGAAAAAATGAACTTTCACAAAATTATTTTAAACAAATCAATTAAGAGTAAATCTCTAGAGACAACTGGGAAAAAATTTTACAGTACTGAATTCAGGAAAGATACACAACATGCAATGCACTTGTCTGGGCAGCTCATCTGCTTCTCATCTGCAAATACATGGGTTCAATTTCTCCCACCTGTTTGGAACTTCTGAAAACAAAGATAAGCTTAACGAGTCCTACAGATAAAATATCTTTTAACAATATATATTCAACGTAGATAAAACTGTTTGTCAGAATACAACTATATCAAAAATGAAAACCAGGAAACAGATTTACGTTTTCAGTTCCTATATATTGACTTCATTTTCCTTATCAAGCATGCACTATAGAAAAAGAACTATAGATGCAGATTATTCTTTCTTTTTCACCAACAAGTTTGTGACTGAAATAAAATCTATCATACAGAGAGAACAGACTTTATGCAGGGTCCCATTTTTTAAAACTCTTTTTGGAATGCACACACATATTTCAGTGAGAGGTGTACAGAAAGGATAATTTGAAGGAAAAGATATTACAGTGTGAAAGCATAAAAAGAAACAGTTATTGTAAAAGACAGCTGGAGTGTCATTTCCTAAATTCCCCATGTGCTACCATTACACAAACTGCAACACGATAATCCACAATGAATTACATGGAGAAATCCCATTTGTCCCACAAGTAAAGAAGAGAGCAGATACCTCATAACAGATGATCTGTCAAGATCTTTCCTTACTTCTGAGAAATATATTTTTCATTCTAGAATTTTTTTTAATGTTTTTTTCTGACATATCACTCTCTGGGGATGCTGCTGCACAGCAGCCCACACATTATCTTTGTGGCTATTCATCCTATTTCATTCCTTAAAGTTTCTTAAAAATGCAGACTATTAGGAAGAAATACGGTCCCAAACAGTGTTGTTTCACCAAGGGCAATGGAGAACTGAAAATGAGTGTAGGACATTTCCCAAATTATTTTAAATACATATTTCTTTAACTCAAATTGCACAAAACTTTAGCTATCCAGCCCCCATGAATTATGTGAAAATGAAACAGTCTTCAAAGCAGCTGTTGTTGCGGCAGGCATTTCAGTATTCAACATCTATTGTCATTCGGTTATTAGAATGCATTTCCATAATCAGGAAAGAACACTGTTTCTGAGAACAATGGAAACATACAGAACTGCAGAACATGCAACATGAGAACTGGTCAATGGATGCAGCAGCAGGATCGTTCTAGGATAAATGTGAAGCTTTTACTTGCTTTAACTCAATGCAGCAGTGGTTTCCATTAAAAATTAAATATTTGCCAAGGGCTAATTCACTGTGACCCTCTGACTAGAAAATAACTGCAATATCTCAAAAAAGAGATGGAGATAATCATTGCAAATACTGATTTTTAAAATTATTCCCTTTTCTCATTTAAAATTCATAAGAACAGAAAATATTGGAAGGGACATATATAAAAGTACATTTATTTCTTCCTTCCAAAAAAATACTTCATAGTTGCTAGGTGACAACAGTGAAGTCTCCTACAATGTCATTTAGAAAATGACAAGCAGAGAAATGAGAAATTAAGGACATCACAATTCCTGCTCTGCCTACTTAATAAACAAGCACATTATTCACAGGAACAAAGAAATACATATTTCACTCTGTAACAATCTTAAGTCTCATCTGTAGATCTGTTTTTAAAATTATGACTTTATATTACGTCAATTTTGGTGGCTGATTTTCCTGAGTGGCTCTAAGTTTCTCCACCAATAACAGTCATTTTTCCATTGCTATTTCTAAACAATCAGATTGAGATGTACTTTAACAACATGAATAATTTGACCTATTTAATTTTAAATGTCTCTGGATTACACACTAATTTAGGCCAGAACAGACAACTAGTGGAGATCCTAATAGAGGTCCTTGTCTAAAATGAATTAGTTATTTCAGAAACTTACGTTTCTACCACAGATACTTAGAGCTGCATCTAAATCAGATGGCTGAAATGCCCTGAACTGGACAGTGAAGATCCATCACTCCTTTTTCCTAAATATATATCACACTTTACTGCTGCTCTGCACAGTTTATATGTAGATATCATGGATGGAAAAAATGCAACCACTAAACTCTGAGTTAAGATCCTAGTGTTGTGTTGGACTCTTCTTTGCATTTACAAACCCTAATAAATGCACCTTATATTTTAAGCAGTTCCATAAGTATTTGCAGGACAAGGATCTCCAGGCTCATTTAATGAATACTGCAGGATTTATAAGGTCTGTAAATCCATCACTTCATTGGTTTTTCATTATTCAGAATCTTCAAAATACCAGGCACTGGAGGATGTTCTTGTTACTTTAAAACATCAAATGGATCTTGCAACAGGAAAGTGAAATCATCACACTCATTTTGCTGATAACTGAGGATTTGAATTATTAAGGAATTGAGAAGGAAGAATCGCTGGACTGTTACATTAAAGAAATCTGCAGACATGGTCCACATTGTGAAACAACAGTTTTTTTAATCTTCTGGTCGTTTTGAGAAAAGATTTTATCATTGAAACTGCATCACCTGTACGTAACTGATTACCCTAAGTGTTGGTGCGCAGTGGTAGATGACTGCAATGATGGCAACCCAACCTCTGAAATCAGCACTCCATACTTCTGTCACTGCTTTGGTCACTGAAAACATTTGTGGATGACAGCATGCCACCAGAGAATATATTTGCCATCATCTTTTCCTCTTCTGTCAGCTTCAATCACTGAGACTTACGTCCAGTTTTCAAGTAACACAATTAAAAAAAAACCTCAACATTTTCCTATGCCCTTGAAAACTGCCTTTAGCAAGAGCCATTGTGAAAATCTATCTAATCAATGTAAACTCCCTTCAGCACTTCTAAAGCACTTATCAGGTCTGTTACTGTAACCTAGGTCTCAAGATGGAAGAAAAAATAAAGAAAAAATAAAGATATTGCAAAAAGAATTATTAATGTTATCTCCTATATTTGCTCTATCAGAAATTTCCTGGTAAAATAGGCGTAGTTTACTTAATGTTTTCTGAGTGTGAGATTTAAGGTGCAAATCAGTTTTAAA